GTAGTGTGTGTGTAGTGTGTGTGTAGTGTGTGTGTAGTGTGTGTGTGTGTGTAGTGTGTGTGTGTAGTGTGTGTGTAGTGTGTGTGTGTGTGTAGTGTGTGTAGTGTGTGTAGTGTGTGTGTAGTGTGTGTGTAGTGTGTGTAGTGTGTGTAGTGTGTGTGTAGTGTGTGTAGTGTGTGTAGTGTGTGTGTGTGTATAGTGTGTGTGTGTGTAGTGTGTGTAGTGTGTGTGTAGTGTGTGTGTAGTGTGTGTATAGTGTGTGTGTAGTGTGTGTAGTGTGTGTGTGTGTGTAGTGTGTGTGTAGTGTGTGTAGTGTGTGTAGTGTGTGTGTGTAGTGTGTGTGTAGTGTGTAGTGTGTGTGTAGTGTGTGTAGTGTGTGTAGTGTGTGTGTGTGTGTGTAGTGTGTAGTGTGTAGTGTGTGTAGTGTGTGTAGTGTGTGTGTAGTGTGTGTAGTGTGTGTAGTGTGTGTAGTGTGTGTGTGTGTAGTGTGTGTAGTGTGTGTAGTGTGTGTAGTGTGTGTGTGTGTGTAGTGTGTGTAGTGTGTGTGTAGTGTGTGTGTAGTGTGTGTGTAGTGTGTGTAGTGTGTGTGTAGTAGTGTGTGTGTAGTGTGTGTAGTGTGTGTAGTGTGTGTAGTGTGTGTAGTGTGTGTGTAGTGTGTGTGTATGTGTGTGTAGTGTGTGTGTGTGTGTGTGTAGTGTGTGTGTGTGTGTGTGTGTAGTGTGTGTGTGTGTAGTGTGTGTGTGTGTGTAGTGTGTGTGTAGTGTGTGTGTAGTGTGTGTAGTGTGTGTGTAGTGTGTGTGTGTGTGTAGTGTGTGTGTGTGTGTAGTGTGTGTGTAGTGTGTGTGTAGTGTGTGTGTAGTGTGTGTGTAGTGTGTAGTGTGTGTGTAGTGTGTGTAGTGTGTGTAGTGTGTGTAGTGTGTGTATGTGTGTAGTGTGTGTAGTGGTGTGTGTGTAGTGTGTGTATGTGTGTGTAGTGTGTGTAGTGTGTGTAGTGTTGTGTGTGTGTGTGTAGTGTGTGTGTAGTGTGTGTAGTGTGTGTGTAGTGTGTGTAGTGTGTGTGTGTGTGTGTGTAGTGTGTGTAGTGTTGTAGTGTGTGTGTAGTGTGTGTGTGTGTGTATGTGTGTGTAGTGTGTGTAGTGTGTGTGTAGTGTGTGTAGTGTGTGTGTAGTGTGTGTGTAGTGTGTGTAGTGTGTGTGTAGTGTGTGTAGTGTGTGTAGTGTGTGTGTAGTGTGTGTGTAGTGTGTGTAGTGTGTGTGTGTAGTGTGTGTAGTGTGTAGTGTGTGTAGTGTGTGTGTAGTGTGTGTAGTGTGTATAGTGTGTGTGTGTGTGTGTAGTGTGTGTGTGTGTAGTGTGTGTATTAGTGTGTGTGTGTGTGTAGTGTGTGTAGTGTGTGTAGTGTGTGTGTAGTGTGTGTGTGTGTAGTGTGTGTGTAGTGTGTGTAGTGTAGTGTGTGTAGTGTGTGTAGTGTGTGTGTGTGTGTAGTGTGTAGTGTGTGTGTATGTGTGTAGTGTGTGTATGTGTGTGTGTGTGTGTAGTGTGTGTTAGTGTGTGTGTAGTGTGTGTGTAGTGTGTGTAGTGTGTGTGTAGTGTGTGTGTAGTGTGTGTGTGTAGTGTGTGTAGTGTGTGTAGTGTGTGTAGTGTGTGTGTGTGTGTAGTGTGTGTGTAGTGTGTGTAGTGTGTGTGTAGTGTGTGTGTAGTGTGTGTAGTGTGTGTAGTGTGTGTGTGTGTGTAGTGTGTGTGTAGTGTGTGTAGTGTGTGTAGTGTGTGTAGTGTGTGTGTGTGTGTGTAGTGTGTGTAGTGTGTGTGTGTATGTGTGTAGTGTGTGTAGTGTGTGTAGTGTGTGTGTAGTGTGTGTAGTGTGTGTAGTGTGTGTGTGTAGTGTGTGTAGTGTGTGTAGTGTGTGTAGTGTGTGTGTAGTGTGTAGTGTGTGTGTGTAGTGTGTGTGTAGTGTGTGTAGTGTGTGTGTGTGTGTAGTGTGTGTAGTGTGTGTAGTGTGTGTAGTGTGTGTAGTGTGTGTAGTGTGTGTGTGTGTGTAGTGTGTGTAGTGTGTGTAGTGTGTGTAGTGTGTGTAGTGTGTGTGTAGTGTGTGTAGTGTGTGTAGTGTGTGTAGTGTGTGTGTGTGTGTGTAGTGTGTGTAGTGTAGTGTGTGTAGTGTGTGTAGTGTGTGTGTAGTGTGTGTAGTGTGTGTGTAGTGTGTGTGTAGGTGTGTGTGTGTGTGTGTAGTGTGTGTAGTGTGTGTGTAGTGTGTGTAGTGTGTGTGTATAGTGTGTGTGTAGTGTGTGTATAGTGTGTGTAGTGTGTGTAGTGTGTGTAGTGTGTGTAGTGTGTGTGTGTGTGTGTGTGTGTAGTGTGTGTGTGTGTAGTGTGTGTGTGTGTAGTGTGTAGTGTGTGTAGTAGTGTGTAGTGTGTGTGTGTGTGTAGTGTGTGTGTGTGTGTGTATAGTGTGTGTGTAGTGTGTGTAGTGTGTGTAGTGTGTGTAGTGTGTGTGTGTGTAGTGTGTGTATAGTGTGTGTAGTGTGTGTAGTGTGTGTGTAGTGTGTGTGTGTGTGTGTGTGTGTGTGTGTGTAGTGTGTAGTGTGTAGTGTGTAGTGTGTGTAGTGTGTGTGTAGTGTGTGTGTGTAGTGTGTGTGTGTGTAGTGTGTAGTGTGTGATAGTGTGTGTAGTGTGTGTAGTGTGTGTGTGTAGTGTGTGTGTAGTGTGTGTAGTGTGTGTAGTGTGTGTATAGTGTGTGTGTGTGTGTAGTGTGTGTAGTGTGTGTGTGTGTAGTGTGTGTAGTGTGTGTGTGTAGTGTGTGTAGTAGTGTGTGTAGTAGTGTGTGTAGTGTGTGTAGTGTGTGTATAGTGTGTGTGTAGTGTGTGTGTGTGTATAGTGTGTGTATGTGTGTGTAGTGTGTGTAGTGTGTGTAGTGTGTGTGTGTGTAGTGTGTGTAGTGTGTGTGTAGTAGTGTGTGTAGTGTGTGTGTGTGTAGTGTGTGTAGTGTGTGTAGTGTGTGTAGTGTGTGTAGTGTGTGTGTGTGTGTAGTGTGTGTAGTGTGTGTAGTGTAGGGCTGGGTATCGTTATGAAGCTGCCGATACGATACACACCTCGATACAGTGCTTTTTCGGTTTGATACGATATATTTCAAATCAATTCAGTACAGTTCAATAAAAAATAATGGCTAATCATGTTTGTGACACTAAAAGTCTTTGTGAAACCACTTTTTGTGCAAAGTTCATATGAAACACAAACATTTTAATCCTGACAACAGTGAAAATGTCAAATGTGTCGCATAAATGAGTTATTATCCTCTAAACAAGCAACAAAACTGTAGCTGTAACAAAATAATTTAGTAAAATAAACCAAAAAATAGAGTCCTGCACCAGGTCGAGTCAGAGTCCCGCACCAGGTCACATTTACGACCGTGCAGCACGGAGCTCTGCACCGGTCTCTTTGCTTGTGGTCACCCGACGGTCTACACAAGCACACTTTAGTCCTGGGTTAGTCCTGGGTCAGTCCTGGGTCAGTCCTGGGTCAGTCCTGGGTTAGTCCTGGGTCAGTCCTGGGTTAGTCCTGGGTCAGTCCTGGGTTAGTCCTGGGTTAGTTCTGGGTTAGTCCTGGTTAGTCCTGGGTTAGTTCTGGGTTATCACGGGCAGTAACAGGTGGAATGTTAACAGGTCCGGCCGGGTGCAGGTCTCTAAAAATGGACCCGTGCAGGACTCTGAGTTGGGTAAGAAATTATTTAAGAAAATATATCACTTACAGTCATACAGGAATTACAATTTTTAGTTGCATCATGAGAGTAATAATATTCTAAAACAGTCAAAATTTTAGGTTTTGCGTGTGTTTCTGACGTTCGTAGGATTTGTTCTTCCAGAAGAACACTTTCAGATAAGAACTACAAGAAGAATGCCAAAAATGTTCGTAAGAAGTTCAAATTTGTAGGTCAAAGAAAGTCAAAAAGAAGTACAAATTTGTTCCTGTGAACGTTTCATGAATGAAGGCCGTTTTGTAGTTCTGCGTTGACTCTCGTCGCAGTCGCTTTGTTGCTATCGTTTTTGGTTTATAGATCTGCGTCAAGGTCTGTGCGAAACGAAGTAATTCACCAACACAACAATAAGAGGCGAGGATTTATAACTGGTGTTCGTGTTTACAAAATGAAGCGGGAAAAAGAAGAACTGGAAATGTTTGTAGAGCCGTAGAGACGACTAATCACAGCTCGTATTATCAGCGTCGTTTCCCCTTGCTGTCTGTGTCAGTTCGATGCGTAGTTTCTTTAGATAAATATACATTTACAGTGTCAAAAAAGGTTCATTTTTGCATTTAACATTTTAACTAACATCGTAGACACTGCATTAAGATACAAGATGAACTAGAAAAGCAGTCAGAGAGCGCAGACCTCCGCCAAGGACTACCCCCATTTTTTATATAAATTGCGATAAAATCAGTCTTCTGGATCAGATCCGGATCAGCCTTTGGAATATGAAAGAGGATCCCATTGTCCATCCCTGAGTCAAATTTCATGGGGTTTGGTCAATAATTAACCGAGATATTGAGAAACAAAATTTTTTGGCCCCATTTACCACAATGTTAACTCAAATTTTCAAAGTGATCCAGAATCCAGGATTTCTTCCGGATCAGCCCCAAAATGAAATCAGTTCTTCCTTTTCACATTTCCAACAAATCCTGAAAATTTCATCAAAATCGGTCCATAACTTTTTGAGTTATGTTGCTAACAGACAAACAAACAAACAAACAAACAAACAAACAAACAAACAACAAACAAACAGACAAACAAACAAACGCCGGCAAAAACATAACCTCCTTGGCGGAGGTAATAAAGTGACTCTGTAGACGACTCGCAGCTCAACAGCGACTGCCCACACTCTGGTTCCAACATTTCTTATTCCTTTTTCCCATAGATGTTCCAAAAAAATACAAGTTTGAAAGTTCAGGATTGATTCAAACTAAAAGTGTTTTCCCGGTTCATATTTTCCCGTACGATCCAGAGAGTCGTGTGTTACCTGTGCGGACTGTGAGCCGGACGAGGGCAGAGGGTTCGACACCATCGGTCCAAACAGATCCACCTCGTTGCTGATTGGTTCAGCCGGACTGGAGCCCCGCCCACTGCTGCTGTCAGGACCATCTGGAAATAAAAACCAAGTATTACAGGGTTGTTTGAAACAACAAAAATCAGGTTCCAGACTAAAACCAGTATCGAAACTAAATATCGATACTAAAAAAAGTCATATTCACAAGACAGAATTGAGTCTAAAGTTCCTGAATGATCCTGAGCTGCAGCAGAACAAGTTTAGTACTGTGTCTTTTGTTTATTTTATTTTATTTATTTATTACTATTTTATCATTTTTATGGTTTTACTTTTACTTGATTTTACGGGTTTAGTTTTAGGACTTTGTTTTAGCAATTCACCTTTTTGTTGTCTTCATTTTATGATTTCTGTGCAGTACTTTTTTATTGGTAAAATGTGCAATAGAAAGAAAGTGGATTTTGACTTCGAGTATTCGAGTATCAGAACTAAAACAGACCTAAAATCAGGACTAAAATCAGGACTAAACCAGTCTAAACCAGAACTAAACCAGCACTAAAATCAGGTCTAAACCAAGTTTAAACCAGGACTAAAACCAGAAAAAAACAGAACTAAAACCAAGATTAAAATCAGATCTAAACTAAACCTAAAACCAGGGCTAAAACCAGGACTAAAACAGGGACTAACCAGGTCTAAACCAGGACTGAAACAGGACTAAAACAGATATTAACCAGGACTAAACCCGGTCTAAACCAAAACTAAACCAGTACTAAAATCAGAACTAAAATGAGGTGTAAACCAGGCCTAAAACCAGGACTAAAACCAGGAGAAAAACAGGGACTAACCAGGACTAAACCAGGACTAAAATCAGGAAAACTAAAAACCAGGACTAAAATCAGTCTAAACCACTCTAAACCAGGGACTAAACCAGAAAACTCTACAACCAGGACTAAAAAGTCAAACAGGTCTAAACCAGGACTGAAACAGGACTAAAACTGAGATTAACCAGGACTAAACCAGGACTAAACCAGGACTAAACCAGGTCTAAAATCAGGTCTAAACCAAAACTAAACAAGAATTACAACCAGGACTAAAATCAGGTCTAAATCCAGGACTAAACCAGGTCTAAACCAGAAATACTGTCCGACATAAAACCGGTCCGTGGTGAAAAAAGTTTGGGGACCACTACAGTAGATCAATAGACCAAAGACGAGATCATTTTAACCTGATTTTAGTCCTGGTTTAGTCCTGGTTTAATCCTGGTTTAGTCCTGGTTTGTCCTGGTTTAATCCTGGTTTAGTCCTGGTTTAGTCCTGGTTTAGTCCTGGTTTCTTTTAGTCTTAAACCATCTGGATTTTTGCGCAGAAACTGGTTCTCAAATCATTTTCTGTAGGACTTGGAGTAACTCGGTGCTTCTTCCAGTATTTTTATTTCTGATTCTTCACCAAAACCAAGACATAATTAGACAAACTTTAAAAAGCCGTCACTTTAAAAATAGCTCCTCTCTCCAGTAATGACTCTGATCCTGAAACTTCAAAGTCTCTACATTTCCAGTCTGACAGGATTTGAAAGCTCCGGGTTCAGGCGCGAGGACGGATCTGCGAGGAAACGGCACGAAAATACAAAAATAAACCGGGATATTCACATTAGAGACACTTCATGGTCCAGAGCAGGTTTTTTGAGCGAAAGCCTCCCCCCTCCCGAGCTCCTGTTTGTGGGGGAGGGAGAGATAAGAGGCGACGGGGGGGACGGGTTTTTACACCACGGTATTTCCAAACTCAAGTGTTCCCAAAATGTTCCCAAAATGTTCCCACGACCACTGATAATATTCACCGTAAAGAAACAGAAATGTACTTTTACAGCGAGTTTGGAGAACAAAGAAATTCAGAAAGACTTTCACTTGAGAATAAAAGGGTTTTGGTAATGTTTTAGAAGTTTAAGTCCTTTTTCAGTTAGTCCTAGTTTTAGTCCAGTTTAGTCCTGGTTTAAGTCCTGGTTTAGTCCTGGTTAGTTCTGGTTTAAACCTGGTTTAGTCCTGTTTAGTCCCTGGTTTAGTCCTGGTTTAGTCTTTGTTTGTCCTGGTTCAACCCTGTTTTAGTCCTGGTTTAGGTTTAGTCCCTGGTATAGTCCTGATTCAGTCCTCGGGTTTAGTCTCTGGTTTAGTTCCTGGTTTAGTCCCAGATTTAGTCCTGGTTTAGTCCTGGTTTAGTCCTTTTCAGTCCTGGTTTAGTCCTGTTTAGTCCTGGTTTAGTCCCTGGTTTAGTCCTGGTTCAGTTCTGGTTTAAACCTGGTTTAGTCCCTGGTTTAGTCCCTGGTTTAGTCCTGGTTTAGTCTTTGTTTAGTCCTGGTTCAACCCTGTTTTAGTCCTGGTTTAGACCCAATTTAGTCCCTGGTATATTCCTGATTCAGTCCTCGGGTTTAGTCTCTGGTTTAGTTCTGGTTTAGTCCATGGTTTTGTCCTGGTTTAGACCTGGTTAGGTTTAGTCCCTGTTTAGTCCTGTTAGTCCTGTTTAGTCCTGGTTTAGTCTTTAGTCCTGGTTTACCTGATTTAGTCCTGGTTTAGTCCTGGTTTAGTCCCTGGTTTAGTCCTGGTTTTAGTCTGGTTTAGTCCTGGTTTAGACCCTGTTTAGTCCTGGTTAGTCCCTAGTCCTGATTTAGTCCTGGTTTAGTCTCCTGGTTTAGTTCTGGTTTAGTCCAGTCTGTTTAGTCAGTCCTGATTTAGTCCTGGTTTAGTCCCTGGTTTAGTCCTGGTTCAGTCCTGGTTCAGTCTTGGTTCATTTTTGGTCCAGTCCTGGTTTAGTCCATTTTCAGTCCTCATTCAGTGCTGCTTTAGTCTTTGGTTTAGTCCCAGATCAGTCCCTGGTTCAGTCCTGGTTTAGTTCCTGGTTTAGTTCCTGGTTAGGCCCTGTTCAGTCCTCATTTATTCTTGGTTTAGTCCTTTTTCAGTCCTGGTTCAAAGTAATTCAGAAAAACTTTCACTCGAGAATAAGAGGATTTTGGTAAGTCCTGGTTTAGTCCTGGTTTAGTCCCTAATTGTGTCCTGGTTTAATTCTGGGGTTAGTTCAGATTTTGTCTTGACTTGGTTTAGTCCTTTTTCAGTCCCTGGTTTAGTTCCGGGGTTAGTCCTGGTTTATTCCCTGGTTCAGTCCTGGTTTAGATCCAATTTAGTCCCTGGTTTAGTCCTGATTCAGTCCTCGGGTTTAGTCCCTGGTTTAGTCCTTGGTTTAGACCTGGTTTAGTCCCTGGTTTAGTCCTGGTTCAGCCTTGGTTTAGTCCTGCTTTAGTCCTTGTTTAGTCCCTGGTTCAGTCCTGGTTTAGTCCCCGATTTAGTCCTGGTTTAAACCTGGTTTAGTCCTGGTTCAGTCCTGATTTAGTCCCTGATTTAGTCCTGGTTCAGTTCTAGTTTAGTTGTCGGTTTAGTTCCTGGCTTAATCCTTTTTCAGTCCTGGTTTAATCCTGGTTTAGTCCCGGTTCATTCTTGGTTCAGTTTTGGTTTAGTCCTGCTTTAGTCCATGGTTTAGTCCCTGGATTAGTCTCTGGTTTAGTCCTGGTTTAGTTCTAGTTTAGTCCTAGTTTAGTCCCTTGTACAGTCCTCGTTTAGTCCTTTTTCAGTCCTGGTTTAGTCCTATTTCAGTCCTGGTTTAGTCCTGGTTCCGTGTGAAAGAACTTCCTCCGACTCCAAACTGTTTTAAAAAGAACTCATTTTATTTTTCCCGTTTTTTGAGATAAAAAAAACAAAACCGACCCTGGTCCAGCTCCGATCCTGCTCCACTAACCCTCTCCCGCAAATTAACTCCACCAGAATTAGCTCGGCTTAATTTAACGCCACATTCTTCAGCGTAATTAGCAGAAAAAACACGAGGAAACGGCTGAACTTTGAGACCGTTAGCGCCCGTCTTAATTATTCATGAAATTAGTAAAAAATAATGAGAGCGTTGGGTTTTATGAAGGACGCACGCCGCTGGACCGTGGGAGGCGGTTCAGAGCCACGACAGACGAGCCGGGATTTCAGGTCCGGGGTTTGGAGACGGAAAAGGTCATTTTTGTTTATTTACATCAGTGTGGGTAATTAAAATAAACAGTTTAGGCTGGAAATTATTTTATTTTTCACTATAATTATGATCTTAAAGAAAAAAAAAGGAGAAATGTTAGTGTGTTGAAATTAATATTCTAATCTTGTTGTATGGTGTGTATGGTTTAGTCCTAGTTCAGACTTGGTTTAGTCCTAGTTCAGACTTGGTTTAGTCCCTGGTTTGGACCCTGTTTTAGTCCTGGTTTAGTCCTGTTTTAGTCCTGCTTTAGTTCTGGTATAGTTCTGGTTCAGACCCGGTTTAGTCCTGGTTTAGTCCCTGGTTTAGTCCCTGTTTTAGTCCTGGTTTAGTCCTGTTTTAGTCCTGTTTTAGTCCTGTTTTAGTCCTGGTTTAGTCCTTGGTTTAGTCCCTGGTTTAGTCCTGTTTTAGTCCTGCTTTAGTCCTGGTTTAGTCCTGGTTTAGTTCTGGTATAGTTCTGGTTCAGACCCAGTTTAGTCCTGTTTTAGTCCTGGTTTAGTCCTGGTTTAGTCCTTGGTTTAGTCCCTGGTTTAGTCCTGGTTTAGTCCCTGGTTTAGTCCTGGTTTAGTCCTTGGTTTGGTCCCTGTTTTAGTCTTGTTTTAGTCCTGGTTTAGTCCTGGTTTAGTCCTGGTTTAGTCCTGGTTTAGTCCCTGGTTTAGTCCCTGGTTTAGTCCCTGGTTTAGTCCTGGTTTAGTCCTGGTTTAGTCCCTGGTTTACTCTTGTTTTAGTCCTGTTTTAGTCCTGGTTTAGTCCTGGTTTAGTCCCTGGTTTAGTCCCTGGTTTAGTCCTGGTTCAGTCCTGGTTCAGTCCTGGTTCAGTCTCTGGTTTAAACCTGGTTTAGTCCTGGGTAAGTACTGTTCAGATCTGGTTTATTCCTGGTTTAGTCCCTGTTTAAGACCTGTTTTGGTGGTGGATTTGATCTTTGTTCAGTCCTAGTTTAGTTCTCATTTAGTCCTGATTTAGTCCTGGTTTAGTCCTGATTTAGTCGCTGGTTCAGTCCTGGTTTAGTCCTGATTTAGTCCTGGTTTAGTCCTGATTTAGTCCTGGTT